GGAACAAGAGAATTTCTGAGGTTAGTTACATCAGGCTGCTCAGGTACTTGTCTAGATGAATTCTGTGTATCTCCAAGGATGGAGATTATACAGTCTTGGAGGAAAATCTGTTCCAGTGTTTGGCTAACCTCATGATAGAGTATTTTCCTTGCATCTCATCAAAATTTCCTTTGTTGCTGCTTGTGTCCATTGTCTCAAGAAGAATTTGGTATCATCTTCACTATAACTACCCAGGAGGCACTTGAAGAGAACACCCAAATCCCCTGCTAGCTTCCTCTTCTCCAGGCTGAGCAAACCCACTTCTCTCAGCCTCTCCTCATAACCCATGTGCTCCAGCCCCCTTACTATCTTCATGGCCCTCCACTAAACTCTGGTTTGTTTAGCACTGTCTTTCTGGTACTCCAGAGTGTCCACAACTGGACACAACTGTACACCAAATGTGGTCTCACAAATACCAAATACAGAGCAAGAATCTCCTCCCTTCAGTAATAACTGTGGTGGTTATTACAGTTACAGGTCATAATAAGCCTTACAAAAGAAAATACCCCAAGCTTATTTTCTAACAATATGCTGACTTACTCAGTTTATTGCTTACTTTATCAATTCCAGGCACAAGCCTACAGATGACTTCCACCTTCTCTGGCTGGAGTCCCACTTCTTCTTTAGCTTCTCGGAGAGCAGTATCAATTTCATCTTTATCAGTTGGTTCACTTTTACCTCCTGGAAAACACACTTCCCCTGGTGATCTTCTCAGCTAGAATTTAAAGGAATACTACTGTTAAATATAACAAGTTTTACATTTCTTCTTGGGTCCACACAGACATTTGTTCATATTGCAGAATCACTTTACGTTTGATTTATCTTTCCAGTCAAAGAAGCTGGAAAAGATGGTTAAGAGGTTTCTGCAGATCAGAAATGTGCCTTACCAAGAGCTACACAAGAAAAAGCTGGGCCTATACCCAACCAATCCATAAACCCTCACTATCAAAATACACACAACACTTGTACAGTATTGTGTAATTCATACTATACATTCTGCTTTAATACTTCAAAATTTACATCTTTCATCATCCTGCTTGCCTAAAAGTCTGACTGATGAATCTTGGCAGACTACTTGAATTGTGAGAATAAAATACTCAAGGTAATACCAAGAACTTCTAAAATACATATTTAAAGAACATACCTTTAAGTACATTATAGCAATAGGCTTGCGCATCAAAGACCATTAAAAAGCCCATTTACAATCAGTTTATCAGATAAGTAACTGTAATTATTACATCTTAAAACTTCTAAGCAAGACAGCAAAAAACCTCAATTTTTCTGCAACAGAAAAACAGACAAGTAAATGATCTCTGAATATGGGCAGCAGACTGGGGTGGAGGGTGGTGGAAAACAAGAGTTGTAAAAGAAAAAACGCTGGCAGAAGAGTTCTGGGGGAGTTAAGTTGTTGCCTTTCCTTTCATAGATGAAAGGGAGAGAAGGGTAATATTAGATGCAGATTGAAAAGTCACATTAATAAAAGCTGCACTGCATTGTCAGTTCTCTTATTTAACTTAAACAACCAAAGTTTCCTTTTCTGGTTTGGAAATTATCTTTTACTGTCACAGGTTTCTGGGTATCTGGCATTTTTCCAGCATGTAAACACTCGAGTGACGGGTGTGCACAAACATCGGCTGCTCACCTTGTGCTGCGGGTTGAACAGCACGAAGCGTGACCGTGCGGTGACGGGGAACACGCGGGTGGGGCTTGTGCGACCCCCGAGCGAGGGCTGGGGAGCTCGGCCCCGCCTCACCCACCTGCATGGAGCGGACAGTGAGCAGCAGGTGCAGCGTCCCCTCCCGCACCACCAGCGGCAGCAGCACCGAGGCTTTGGGCAGCGGCAAGTGGGAGAATTTGTCTCCGACATCGAAGTCCCTGAGGCGGAGCCGCGCTGCCTCCTTTATACCCTC